TTCTTAAGCTGAACTCCATTCTTTGGCATTCCCATGCAGTTTCTTGTCAACAGTAAGAAAGTGGCTTCTTTTGCCTTTGGGAGGGATTTTTTTTTTCCCAATCCTCCACTTCAATTTATATCATTGGGATTTTCTGGAATGGTCCTCCATTAAGCTATTAACCAGATATAACTTTGCTTTCTGAGGTAAGTCAAATTGTGCTCATCCAGACAAGGAGCATCAGCACTAATTTTATTATAAGGAACCATTAAACAGAATCTTGCCAGATTGAAAATATTTCTCCCATCCTCTCTTTTTAGCTTCTACGAAACCAGGCAGGATCCCTTCTGAAATGTTTCCCATGCTTTTCCCTCATCTGTGGACTGACTTCCCTTTGTTGTCCTGGCTGTAGGTCTTCTTTTCTTTCTTTCCCAAGGTCATTTCCACATACCATCACAAATTGGCTTGTGCCGATACCTTCTGAGAAGCTTGCATTCAAGTGTACCTTAACCTTCTTTGTTTAAAATTAGATTCCTGTTTGTTTTTTTTCTCCATGGCTACGTCACATTCATTCAAGCCAGAGGAAAAAGAACTGACCAGAAGGGGTTGGTGCATTTTCTTTCTCCCTGGGCACCAAGACCCCCATGCCAGCTTGGTTTTGCTGTTCATTTTAAACAAACAACTGGAGTCGAGGCAACCAGATGAGGCTGACATCTGCTTCTTCGACTCTTGCCAAGTCATTGCTGTTCCATAGCTAGCATGGATGAGAGAGGCTACTGATGCCAAGTTCTTTTGGAAAGGCACAGTGCATTCTTCACATCTCTCTTTCCCTGTCTCTCCCTGTTCCACTGGTTTTGTTCATTTCCTCCAGTATACTAAGGAGTGCATCTGAGGTGGATATGAAGCTGCTTAAAAAAGTGCAAAGAACATCTCAAAGGGCTGGCCCTGTTTAGTGAGGAAAACAAAAGCCCAAGAGATGATCTAACAGCCCTCATGAGGAGATCATGCCACACACACACACACAAAAAAAAAACCATTTCTGCCAAAGAAGCAGTATCTGTAAGCACTGAAGGATAAATTAGGTTTAGATGAAGGGTTTAAAATTGTAACATAGCAGAATTCTGGAAACATGGCCCTTAAACAGTCGCTGAAGCACTTTCTCTCTGCAATTTTTTTTTAAAAAACACCATTGTATATCTAGCAATCTAGCAATATATACACACAAAAACTCATATTTCAGTGAAGAACACAGAAAGCTGCTTCATGATATTAAGACCAATGACCCAAGTAGCTCAGTGATGCTGCTCAGATAGGCAGAGGCACTCCCGCCCCTATTTGGAAAAGCCACAGCAGAACAGGTCCACCTGGTTGAGCTTTGGAGAACAGAAACTTAATTCTTGGACAGGTTGGGAGGGCATGCAGACTATAGGTGAAAGAGGAACTCTTCAACAGTTTTTCAAGGAGAAGATGACCTATAGAAGTGATTATGGGAATGCTGAAAAACTCCAATAGAAGGAATTATTTCAAGATTTTGCCTTTTTTAGTGGCGGGGAATTTAACTGAAGTGTGGAATGCCAGTGAAACTACACACTACACTATTGGAAAAATTATTGTACAATAGAGGATTAGACACTCACATGTCCCCCATGGCTACCTTGTAGCTAAATTAATTTAAGAACCATATACCTTACCCATGGCAAAATTTTCAACATGCTATTTTTCTTTTAAATTATTATTAAAATAAATTCTCTGTCATCAAGTTTAATATGAACCCTAGACGTTTAAAGGCACTTTTTCTGCTTCAAGTGCTATAGATTCTTCTTAATTTTTGATAACTGAAAAAAGTTACATAATGTGAACTTTAATTTTGTACATAAAAGAATTGTTTGAAGTTCTGAATGGCTCATGCAAACCATAATCCAATATAGATATTTTAGTAATTATTTTGCTAGCAGATCACAATGAAGAAGAGCATGGAAATCAGCTAGCTCTGATATGTTCTTGGCATCGAATAAAATTCCTAATTTTATTCGATGCCAAGAACATATTTGCAAACTAAGATTAAAAATTGATCCTGTAGCATGGGGACTTGTGGACTTTTATCTGTTAGGAAAATTATAAGATGACAGAATCTTTTCTGCCAGCTGGATCTGGACGATGGACCAAATTGCATCTCCAATCTTAAATGATGGGTCCCTAGGAGAAGAGACTTTGAACTTTCCAAAACCATATCATATTATTCTAAATATTACTCAAAAGCTTGAGTGCAACCCAGCTTCAAGCAAATTCTACTTTTACCTCCCCAATCCACTGAAAACTGGCATCAAAAGCACAAACTCATTTAATTGGTATCAAAATTAAAGCTAGGCTGCCAATGAAGGCGGTTCTGAGAATCTGAAAATTGAAGTTTATATGCCTCAAGGATGCCCAGCTGGGAAAAGTTTCCCTAATATTTGTGCATCTTAATAGTAAAAGTTGTTATCAGATTATTACAGAATTTACAAAATAACATGGTTGGAAGGAACTTTGGAGGTCTTCTAGTCCAACCCCATGATCAAGCAGAATCTCTTTCTGTTCCTTCTTGAGGAAGCAAATAGATAGATTGATATAGATAGAATTCTTCATTGGCCAAGTGTGACTGGACACATAAGGAATTTGTCTTGGTGCAAATGCTTTTAGTATACATAAAAGAAAATATACATTCGTCAAGAGTCAAGAATCATAAGGTACAACACTCAATGACAGTCATAGGGTACAATAAGCAATCAAATCATACTAGGAAACAGTCAATATAAATCATAAGGATACAAGTAACAAAGTTACAGTCATACAGTCACAAGTGGGAGGGAATGGGTGATAAGAAGTGATGAGAAGATTAAAAGTAATATTAGTGCAGACTTTGTAAATAGTTGAACGAATATACTGCACATATCCAGAATTCATCCAATTTTCTAATTATCTCAAAACTTTGGGTGCTTATCACCCCATCTCTTGTTTTTGTAAAGTGGCATAATGGGTTGAATGAAAAGTAATCCCTTTAATGTTGCATATTGACAACAGTATTAATGCATTAATACTCTGATATTTTCTTTACTGCATGTTCTCTTACTTCAGATCAGGGGGACTTGCTGTGAGAAATTTCTATCTTTTCCCCAAATTAAAGGAATACCTCCGTGGGTATTTGTTTCTTGGAAATGAAAAGGTGGAAATAACTGTCAGGATCTGACTGAAGAAACAAAATGTGGAATTCTTTCAGATTGCTTTAATTGTCCATTGTAAAAATGTATTTATTTTTTTATTTTATTTATTTATTTTGATTTGTCAATCACTTACAAGATAATAGGTATAAGTATATACATAGTTATGAATACATGAAATGGGTACATATAAGAAAAATAAAAGAAACAATAGGACAGGGAAGGTAGGCACGTTGGTGCTCTTATGCATGCCCCCTGCAGACCACTTAGGAAAGGGGTGAGGTCAATAGTAGACAGTCTAAGGTTAAAGTTTTTGGGGTTTGGGGAAGAAACCACAGAGTCAGGTAGTATTCCAAACATTGACCACTCTGCTGCTGAAGTCACATTTCTTGCAATCAAGTTTGGTGCAATTAACCTTGAGTTTGTATCTGTTGTGTGCTCTTGTGTTGTTATGGTTGAAGCTGAAGTATTCATTGACAGGTAAGTCATTGTAATGTATGATTTTATATACCATACTTAGATCAGACCAAAGACGGCATAATTCAAGGTTTTCTAGGTCTAGAATTTCAAGTCTGGTGGCATAAGTTATTCTACATTGAGTAGAGCAGTGGAGAACTCTTCTTGTGAAATATTTCTGGACGTTCTCAACTGTGTTAATATCAGGTACGTAATGTGGGCTCCAGACTGATGAGCTGTATTCAAGTATTGGTCTAGCAAATGTTTTGTATCCTCTAGTTAGTAGTGTGATATTGCCGGAGAAAAAGCTACGCAGGATTAGGTTAACAACTCTTAATGCCTTTTTGGCTATGTAGTTACAGTGGGCTCTAGCACTTAGATCCTTAGAGATGAGTATTCCAAGGTCCTTTACAGAGCTTGGATCATCAACAATGTCTTGACTATTCAGCTTGTATTTCATTTTCTGATTTTTTTTGCCAATATGTAAGACAGAGCATTTATTTGTTGAGATTTGACGTTGCCATTTGTTTGACCATTCTGATACACAGTCAAGATCTTTTTGAAGGGTATTGTCTGTGGTATTGAACAGTATATGCAGTGAATGGTAGCAATTATGTAGAAAAGTAAGTGTTGGTAATAAGAGAGCTCATTCCAAGGATTATTGTTCCATTTCATTCACTAAAATATCCCCATTTACACTAAAGTTACAGTGATGAATGCTTTAGTTTTCATTCAACCAAAATATATAGGAAAATACTTTATTGAGGGTGATTTTTTATTATTAGTAATAGGAAAGCACTAAAACTAATACTCACCTGTTTTTATCTTGTTTCTTTACAAGACCTCTGCAAGGCCTGTAATTCTCCTATAGTAAACTAAAACTATCACAGAATCATTTTTCCTGTTGTCTTTAGATTGTTTGTCCAAAGAGTTATAGATAGATATCCAATATTCATATTTCTACAATTGTATCTAGTCACCTGCAGAAGTTTGGGCTCAAGAATATTGACTAGATTTATAGTCTGAAGGAATCTATTCAGATTAACTAACCCCTGATTTTTGCCTACTATAAAGTGGTATGTCTCCCCTTCTACAGTGAGTAGACCAATGTCATCCAGGGAGCTTCTAAAGAGTATGGATTTGAATTTGGGTTGCCCACTCCTAAATTAATTGTCTACCCACCATGCTATACTTGCTCAAGTTCACATTAACCCTAGATTTAGAGCCAAGCATGTTCTCTGTTAAACTGTTAAATATTTTCTTTTTCTTATCAAGTTCAAAGTTATGTTATTAATTATTCATATGACTTCTTGTAAATGATTCCTAATAAGATTCTTTGCTTCTCTTTCTTTCTCTTGTCTTTGGCAGGCATTGACAGAGAATAGTTTGGGGGTCATCACAACTGAAATCCGTGAGGCTCCAGAGTTCTATTATGCTGAAGAATATCATCAGCAGTACCTAAGCAAGCACCCTAATGGTTACTGTGGACTTGGAGGCACAGGGGTTTCCTGTCCTATTGGTATTAAAGGATGATCCTTACTCACAGGGCAATCATTCCCTAAACCAAATGTCAAACTTAAAGAAATGTGTTTTGGATTTTTACCGCAGACTTCAGTGTAGCTTTCATAGATATGAAATCACTGGCATTTATTCTCAAGGAAAGGCATAGTATCAAGTAATGCAAAAATAATGTGCAATCTTCCTTGGACTATATCCTTTTCAGTTTAGATAGGAAAAAAACACATTTTAAATAGAAATAAATTCATTACACTTAAAAAATCTGCATAATGGAGGAGGATTTTCCACTTAAGCATAGTACCCTCTGCCTTTTCAAAAGATGAATAACTTCCTAAAACTGTGAAGGATCACTCTTAAAAATATAGGAACTTCTGAAGTGGCACAGTCCATGATGGTTTATATCAGAGACATGCAATTTCTGAAGCTATGAAGGCCATAATGGTCTTTTTATGGCATGTTGAGGGCTAAACTCCAGTTGGTTCAACATTTAAAAGATGTATGTTTTTTTTTAAACAAATGATTGTTCATTTAACAAACAAACTATTGCAAGGATTATGGTTAAGGAAACCTCACTCCTTAAGCACTCTCCCAACCCCTAAAATGAAGGGAACAGTTTTAATTTTTTAGCTCTGTTCATTGGCCAGATTTGCAAAAGTGGTCATGGTAGATTGTATGTGACATATAGGCTGTAATTTTGCACACTTATAATCTTGCTGAATATGTATACATCAGAATCCCATTAGTGCCATGTGGGTAAGATTTGGTGGGATTTTGTATCATATAAGCTAACATAACTTTTTACATTAATACTATAAGCTGAAGAGTTAAGGCAAATGTATGCATGTCAAATTTAAGTAACAAGAAAGGATATTAGCAAAATTATTGTGGAGAATGTTTCCTGGGAATGAATTGAATTTGAGAAACAGGAGGCAAAGGCAGGGTTAACATCTCCACACCTCTCCCATTTCTTTACTCAAAATATCCAATCTTGCAATTCACTTTATAAATTAACACCAGAGATACAATATTAACAACTAGCTATTAGCCTGATAGCTCTGCCCCAGGTTGTGGTACCATTATATATATATGCTTTTTGAAGTCAAGTGCTAAATAAATTTCAAGTGGGAACATTATGTAGCTATAACTACCCTTAAAAACTATTACATTATGCAAGAAATTGAGTATTTGCTGAAAGTAAGTGAGGGATGTGAACATTGATATTGAATAAGTTTCTAAATTGATTTCTCGGCTTGATTCTGAAATGTAAAAAGAAAGCTTGAAGTTTTATGAGTTTTTTCCACTCACAGATTTCTTTTATGTCCCAAACATTTGTTTCATACAAACATGTTTAAGGTGTTCCCTAATTCTTTCACCAGTTGCAGTCTCTTACACCAACACACTTATATAGAGAGAGAGTTTCTCAACAGTAGAAATAGATCACATGCAGAAGAAGCAAAGTAGATTCTGTTGATCTGAGAATTGGTCTGAATTACTGGGGAAACTGTATCAAATATATCACAATAAAGGGCTGCAAATATTGATAATGGTTCTTTGTGCTGTTATCGTAAGTATATGAAATCTAGGTCTAGGACTTGACTTTTGGCTCACAGCTTGGTAACTATAGATCAGATACTCCTTCCCGGAGGCCTCCACATAGCCATAAATATGTAGCCTCAATTTTTGTGTGCATCTCTCTTCCAAATGCTCTCTTGTAACAAAGAAATATGGTGAAATTGTGAATGGTCACATCCTTTAAGCCACATTCACAGAACCACTTCCAGTTATTTGCTTCTCATCCTGTCGGTCAATGATGGAAATCAGCAAAACATTTCAGTGTTGGCTATTGGCAAGGTCTTAATGTATAACTCTGCCTTCCCTCTTGGATCCCCCCACCACTTGAAATGCCTGGTTCCTATAGTAACAGAATGTATTGTGTTGAGCATTATACCTCTGAATTGTTCTATTGTTCACTGTCAAGGAAACCAGCACTATCTATAATTTCCCAGCCACTTGGTGAAAAGGAAATGAAAGGGAGAACGGGTATAATGATGATGTTGGTACCTTACTCCTGCTATCTTTGCTTCTGGCTAATATTGGTTGGTGTGGGTGTGGGTATTCTACTGAGTGGGATCTCTGGCAAAACAGCGTTCATTGCCAAGGAGCAATCACAAATTACAGCTTTATAATCACCATTGTTTAAGATGAAGAGTGCTGTTGGAGTTTGTATTCATTAGCACATCTTGATACCATTTGATTTTGGGTTTAGCAAAGCATCAAGAGAGGTTTTCTCCTACCAGGAAAATTATTTCTCATAGTGGTTGCTTAATGTAATGCTGTCAGATCATCATTTCAAACAGGTCCTGCCCAGCCTGCCTTAAGATTGTATTTATTTGTGTACTGCCTAGAAATGCTACTGATCTGTTCATTGCTTTTGGCTTCTTGACCTTTGTGCCAGTTGTATAGAGGTAATGAATAATTTGTCTCCTTAGTCATTATTTGTTAATGTGATCTAACCAATCCAAATATAGGATAACTATATTTTTGGATGGGCTGCTGCATTTGTCTCCTGCGAGAAAACCAGAGAGATTTCTGATACCTTAAAGAGAATCATAGCCTGACTCCATTTCTTCCCAATCACAGCATAAATATATTTGGCAACACCGTTTTCCAGCCATGTTCCCTCCCATGATGCTACATTCATCTTATTTCAAACCATGAATGAGACAGCTTAAATAATTCCTATCCCTACCAGATTTAAAGTAGTATTCCTCCTCCCCCATTTCAGCACTATCCAAGATAAAATGGTACAAGATAAGGATTTGTCACCAGCAACCTAGGAGGAAAGTCAAGTGACAGAAATGACTGAGAATATAGGCAGGTTAGAGTTTGATAACGGGGAACATCAAAATTCAATCTGGCATTTTTTGCCACCTCACGTATGGCTGAATAGGCACTTCAGCTCATCAATGGGGAAAGACCCTCAATATCAGGGGTCTCCAACCTTGGCAACTTTAAGCCTGGTGGACTTCAACTCCCAGAGTTCCTCAGCCAGCACCTGACTGAGGAACTCTGGGAGCTGAAGTCCACCAGGATTAAAGTTGCCCAGGTTGGAGACTCCTGCTCTATATAACATAGCCATTTACAAATGAGAATATCAGATGCGAGAAAAATATCACTCTAGTGCTGGAGAGGGCAATCCCCAGTCTGCATACAGCTGCAAGCCCCCATTTGCAGCTCCCCTAGGTAGGTTTGGAATGACTTTTAAATTTTGATATTTAGGGAAGTTAATAGACAAACTCAGTACCATAGTAATGCAGAGATATAAGGCCTCCCATCTCTCATTTTAAAAACCCCAACTCCTCCAAAAATTGGGGTCATTTTTTCCATTCTGGGATAAGGTCAAAGGGTGAGTGACTTGAGCTATAGCTTCTTTCTAACCTTCCCCCAAATTAGAACAAGCAAACAATGGGGCCAGACTATTCCCAGTAAGTATAAAATAAACAAATAAAAAACAGATTCTGGTTTGCTTAAATTATAGCTGTGTTCTTTTATTGATAGTTGTCCTTATCTTGTGCCCTTCAGACAGAGTATCTGGCATTTCAACTCCATAATCAGCTATGTACAAACTTATAAATACTTGTCTTCCTGCCTTCCCCCCACTCCCAAAAGGATCTGGGTGGCACACACTGTCCTCCTTCTATATATACGTATTTGTAGAGAAGTGAAGACCTCACCTCACAGAGAGTAAAAAGGTTGGTGCCTGCCTTAGTTCCAATAAGAGCTTGTTCCATAGTAATTGCACTATGACAGAAAAAACTGCATTTGCTTGCCACAATCTGGAGAGCAATGGGGTTCAAAGCCAGCGATGCCCAATCCCTGTTGTCTGCTACCTTCCTGGTGGATGCAATCTGGATAATGCCTAATTCTCAGGCAAAGATGTCATATGATAGCTGCCAGTATCAGACACCATCAAAGGGACCAAGCTGTTTGTAGGGTTTCTAGATGAGATCTTAAGTGGAATGAAAAGACAAAATGAAAGTCCTGCCCATATTGCACAAAAAGTTGATTCTGAGACTAAAAGAGACACGGATGATCTTCAAGCTATGGGGCACTCCATCCTCAACCTGAATCTAGAGCAGGGGTGTTAAACTAGATTTCATTGAGGGCTACATCAGGGCTGTGTTTGACAGGGCAGGGTGGATGTAACCAGGAAAGCCATGGCCAGCTTGACGTCACTCATGTCGGGTGCCTGTGGCGGCCCGAGTGCTCTGCCTGCAAAAACAGGCTCCCAAGCTCTGTTTTTGGCTGCCTTTTGCAACCCTCTGCCCACAAAAATAGAGCTCGGGAGGTCTGTGTGCGGCCTCCTGAGCTCTGTTTTCACTGGCAGAGGTACTACAGGCCGGTCCTTCACTGTTTCTAGGGTGGCCTGTGGGCCAAATCTAAGCACACCATGGGCTTTGAGTTTGACACCCCTGATCTAGAGGAAGCATGTTTCCTTATTAACAAAGAAGTAATACGAAAAACAACAGTCTCTACTGCTGGATGGGCAGGTTTGATCTTTGCCTACTCATATAACACCAGATTCATAGGTCCTAAAGATGGTATTGTATGGTCACATCAAAGATTTCATCATTCCTTTGGATACACAAGGTGACAAAAATTAACCACATTTTCCTGAAAACCATCAATTAATTACCCTATCTAAGCAAATGATTGAGTAGGTACTTCTGGGCAAGAGATTCTTTTACTCATATTCTATAATTTTCATTGAACCAAGAAAACAAGAGATGGTACATTATCCTGACTGGAACAAGTGAACTGTGACACAAAGCATTGCCAATTCTGAAGGAGACTCTGAGAGCCATCATAGAATGCCTTCATATAATAGTGATACTGATGCCTCACTAGAACTTTCAGGACGCCTGCCTACATATTCATATTTACTCATCCCACTTGATAGTTCCTGAGGTTTGAATAGCAGAGTATTTGTTAGCAATTGATAGCCATCCATCCATCCTGTGCTCAGGTCCTAGAATGTTTATAGAGGTGATTATAATTATAGCTATTTCAGATCCCCCAAGAATTTGTCTGTACTCTATCTATGATTTGTTTTCCTGATTTTCATTTATCAAAGAAGAAAAAAAAAATGACACCAGTGTTCAAGGATTGTTTCCTTATCAGTGAAGAAATGGCCCTCCTTCCACTAGCACATACCTACAGCTCCTCAGTACCATTCTCACCACTAATAAGTATCTTCTTAATAAGATGGAATTTTGAACCAAGTTTTATTCTTGGCTTCTGATTCATGGCAATCCAGGAAGTCTATTTGAATTGTAACTGGAAACAAATTATCAATAATGGTTTCCTGATCAGTTTAACTATTTCCATAATGTGGAACAGGCAAATAGAAGTGATATTAGGGTAACTCAAAACACTTTTTATGAAATAAGCTATTATTTTGTGCTTGTTAATTATTTTAGTCATAATTGCTTATCCTACCCGAAAAACTCATGCCATATCCAGACTGGACTTACAATTCAATTTTTCATTGCTTTTTCTGGTGGTAACTGTATTTAGCTTATACCAATGAATGCATGATTTATGCACTTTTCAAGAACATAGGCCATCACCCCACAAAATGGCTTGGTGGCCATGGAGGACATTTTCACAAAACAGGCATTTAAAAAGGTTAATTGAACACATTGTGATCAACCTGTTACTTTAATCAGTTCACTGAACTAGCAAGATAAAGTTGTTGAGTCCTTCTGAGGTGAGATTATTTTGTAGACATTCCATCTTTAACAATTGGACTTAAGAAAGTGTGCGTAAAAATGGAGCCTATTCACTTTTTATTGCTAGTTGGCAATAAAGTTGGCATTCTTCCTCTAAATAAAGAGCAACTGCAAGTGTATATTTTGGCCTAGCTTTAGAGACCTTCTCTTCAAAGGGGTAACATATTGGCAAAAGTTTTGTGTCTGTGTGTGTGTGTATGTATGTACAACTTCATTAGTGTCTGAATAATTAAGGAAGAGATGCAAGAGAATGGCCAAATGTCAGTATCCATTTCATGCCATTTTGCTTCATGTTTGTCAAAGAGATGGATGGCTTGCTTGTTAGTTCAACTGTGGCAAATAGCAATAATTTACAGTTTAGAGAAAATGATTCATTCAGAAAGCAGCTTGTGTAGAGAAGGTCAAACTTTTTCCTTCATATCAAGTGCTTCCAATCTGTATTTCCCCTATAATTGCTATTTTCTTTTTAAAAAACATACAAACTCAGGCTTTCTTTCCCTATTGTGAGCTTTCCTCATTATTACCATTTATGAATACAATATGTTTTGTAGCCAGAATATACCCGGCTGTAATATATAAACCACAATATATCTGCTTTCAATGAGAATTATAGACTCAGTCTTTCTCACTCAGATTTTTCCTTTGGGTGTCCCAGTTGCTTTCCTGAAAATGGCATCCTTTCTAGTAGTGTTGTAAATTTCTTTCATGCTTTCTTCTTTGACATCACTCTGGTGCTAGCTGGGATTCTCAACACTGTCAAAGGGCATTCTGGTGTATTTATTTAGAAGTTCTTTTTCTTGAGCTAAGTAGGCATAGCCAAATCTCTCTCTCTGTGAAATATATGAGAAGTAAAACAATCCTCTAGAACTGTATTATCTAAGAATCAGTAGAGCAGGTTAATAAGAACATAAAGTGCATGTGGGATTAAATCAAAGGCTTCTTTAATCCAAAATTATTCTTCCCATATTAGCCAACCAGATATCATTGGGAAGACTGCCAGCAGGATATGAGAGCAGTTTTAGAGTACTGAGAAAAATATCTCTAGTAGCCATTGATAGCTCCAGGAATTTGGTTTGCCCTTGGAGATTGGTGTGGATAGATGGCTGTCAATTCTGCCAACACTTGCTTAATTAATGGAACCTGGAAAGGAGCCAAGCAATTTTTACATAACACTTCAGCATTTATTCTTCATTGCAGAGCTCATAAGCATGCACACACACCCCAGTTAATTAGGGAGCTGGGAGTAGTGAAGCAAGTAAAAATACAACTAGATCAACAGTGGAAAAAGCTTGAGTTTCACTGAGGACAAATGAGACATCATATTTGAGGGTGATGATGGCAACAAAATCATCTTAATTATATGCCACTGTTGCATATCTGCAACATCATTGAGAGAGTTATGCTTTTGAGTGAAAGGATAAATTGCCTCTCAAACAAGACTGGGGGAATATCTCAAAATATGACTTGCGTGCAAAGTATTATGTGGATAATGATCAATATGTGATAATCTGTTGGTAAACAGACTATAGTGTTCAGAAATTTAAGATTACAACAGGAATTGCAAATGCCTGGTATGTAAATTTAAATATCAGGAATGATTTAAAATGGGTCTCTTTCACTTTTAGCATGCTTTTCTATGACAGAAATGTATAGTATATTATGTTTTAAAGTCCTATCAATTTTTTAAATCAGTTTTGAAATCTCATATTTTTATTTTTTATTTTGCTAAACTTTTTTAGACACAAGTTCCCAGTGATTCTTACAAACAGTAAAGCCAATTTTCCTACATAAATCCCAGGGGATAACTTTAATGTGTATCATGGAACTGTAATATTGTCACTCTGTTCAATGGCTTTATTACAACCACTAATGAGATTATTTTCTAGTTTATTTTATATCACTGGCCTTTTTGGCTTTGTGGGCATTTCTTTGCAAGATTTGTTCTTGAACTGATATGATTGTTCCTGCAGTTTCTTTTTTAATATATTCCAGATTTCAACCAAAGTCATATTTTGACTCTGTGCAACATCCTTTTACTAGCACTATTTCTGGATATGTATAATCTGTGAATGTCACTTCTTTGGTGAATAGCATGATGCACAGTGATTAGTTTTCCTATTTTCCTACCCAGTTTGTCCAATCCAGGTTGGGGATGGTCAATTATCCCTGCTGTTTAGCTAATGGCATGGATTGACCAAGTATATATTGCTTTAATAATATTTCCATGATGTAATTTAAGACATTTGGGACTCATTTGATATAATTTGAACCCATAATCTTTTTAGCTAAATCAAAGGCTTCTGTTAATCCTAAATTCTATTATTTTTTAATTTTTTGAAAAGTTTTATATAGAAACCCTCCAAATATTGCTGCCAAATTATAATCATATGACCTAATTTAAGTGAAATAAAAATTATTTTTTCTTGAATCTTCCCAGTTGTTTCTCCTAGAGAAGGGCTGTCAAGCCCGCAGGCCGTGGACTGAATGCATCATGGGCTGGCCACGGCCACACTGGTTTAGTGAAGGGGGGGAAAATTTGCTATATATCACGTGACGAGGCCGTGACAATGCAAGTTTGACACCCCTGTCCTAAAGCCTCTACTTTTTGGAATGTAACTCATGTTAAAGATCAAATATACCCCTCGGTCTCAAACTTGCATCAGTCTTTTCTTAGGTACCTGCAACATTTTATCCTTTCACCATTAAAAAAACAACCAGGTGCCTTCGAAATTTGAAAACCAGAAACCTGGATGCACATTCACCTCCCTGTTGCTGGGCTCGCAAATGCCAGGCAAACCCCAGGATTCCATTATGATATCATCACAGGTGATTTAGGTAGTGCATGAGGTCATATGGGGCAGAGGAAGTGTGGGTCATGCCTCTTCTAGGCAAATACATTTCTTCTGAGCTTCCTTTGTAGGAAGTTCTTTGTTCAGCATTCCATTTAAATGTGGAGGTCCCCTTTAAAAAGAGGGCAGCTGCAGCTGCTTGTACTTCTGTTTCTGGTCTCCTCAGTGACTGTCTCTTATACAAGTAGGTGGAATCCTTTTTTAATGTGTTTATTCCATATATCCCAGCAGAAAAACATAATTTTGGAGCTGTCCATGTCATTTATACTGTATTATCACAGAGGATTGGCTAAGGCAAACAGTTCCAATGAGTTTACACTTAACTTTCTCATACTTGGAAAATGGGCATAAATTTAGAGGAATGAATTCCACTTTTTAAAAACAGAATTAAGAAGTTCCAATTTCTTCATGTGGCCTGAGTTCCAAATTCAGAGCCACTTCCTGGACAGTACCAAGAATCAAAGAAGGAACCTCATCAAGGACATCTGAAATCCTACCCTGGCAGGTCAGCATTCGAACCAAAGACAAGATTATCTGCAGAGGAGCAATTCTGAGCAGTTGGTGGATCCTGTCTACAGCTCACTGCTTCATGGAGGACCTGTGAGTATTGCAGAGAAGATTTAAGAAAGATGTCAATACGTCTGAGGAAAGTGCAAACATATTCAGGAAAATAAGGAGTGATTACACAGACTTGTAACAATTGAGTGAGAACTAAAGCAGGCTAAATAGATGTGGATGCCAATGGACTGGCAGAGGAGAACTAGCAAAGTGAATTAGGTAGGAATAGAGCTTTGAACAGGAACATCCACATGGTAATAAAAAAAAACCTCTTATCATTCATATTATCATCACCAGTCTTCTACAGCAGGCTAATTCAAGTTATCCTGCCTGCTCTACTTTGTTGCTTGAAACAATTTAGATTGACCTCTTTTTCCCAGGTACATCAATCCATAGGCCATTCCAAGGTGGGAACTCAAGGGATTTTGAAAAAGGGTTGGGAACTTGTAGCTGATGTATAGGTTCAAAACAACAGATATACTCATTCTTTATAATATTTTTGCACTAAATATACCATTGTCCCAACTGAACAGTGTGTCTTATCTTTTTGATTCATCAGGCCAGCTCTTAGGGTCTGAATACATTTCAGTAAGGTATTGCCCCCCTCTTTGTTCCCAAGTTCTTTAGATCATCCCATAGAGATCATCTTGCATGGGAAGCCTTCAGAGAAAAAGAAGTTGGACATGGTGATAATCCATGAAGACTTCAACAGTACCAGCTTGAGAAACAACATTGCTTTGATCTTATTGGATTCTCCCATCAGCTTCAGTGAAAAAAACGACACCAATTTGCTTGCCTTTGTTGCAGGACCTCAGCGTATGGCAAGACTGCTGGGTTGCCACGTGGAAGACTGTAATGGCTGGTACTGCATTTTCTAATCCAAGCCTGGGCCAAATGGCCTTCCCCTAAATTTGTCTACAATCTCAATTTAGGGAGGAATTTTAGAAATGGTGATATTTTGCTAGTGAAGACTTCACTTCTCCCACTGCACTGTGCTTTGGAAAAAAAAGTTTTCCTTTCTTTTTTTGTCCTTTTCAATAAGAAAAATTTTCTAATTCTGCCTTCCATTTTTTCTGGCCAAAACCATGAAATTTGAAACCAAAGGAAGGGCAAGAAGAATTGCATCCTACTTCTTACTTTAATTTAGCTTGAAAACAAGTTACTTAGCCTTGAGTCAACTTTTTGGAGTAAACCAGGTTAGGAAACTCACATCAAGTGCTGGCACTCTACTTTATTATTATAGGGTAGAGTGACAGACTTTTGAAAGCTGGGTACAGATTATCCCTCTTACACTAAAGAGAATTGAGATGGGAAAATTTTGAGTTGCTTTCGTCATCCACCCACCTATCTTCTCTACTTCCTTCCCACCTCCAGGCTAAGGTGATATTTACATAAAGGTCACTGAATTCATTCTTAATGGCCATTTCTCACCCCACCCCTTCAAAGTAAGGGATTATGAAGAAGCAAACACTTTTTATTTAGAGAGGAAGAGGGATAAAAAGAGTTTTTACAAAAAATACAGTCCATAGTAGCAGGAAAGGTAAATTAGCAGCTTCAAAAACAAAAACCACCAGCGGAAATGGAATGTTTTCATGGGCAGTGGCCCTTCCCTGCATGAATTCAATCTAGAAATAGAATCTTACAAATCTCCCCCCCCCCACTTCCTTTAAATATTGGTTATTGCTACTGTGAGAGTTAACAAAAGACATTGGTGGGATCTCTGGTTCCAGGGAAAAGGGAAGGAGTAAAGTAACAGCCAACTTCCCTTCTTTTCCCAATTTAGGTTGCAGACAAGATTAAAGTGAAGAGTTCCCTGACATGATCCCTCAATCAGCTATTAATTAGGGCAGGGTATTTTTGTGTCTGAGAATGGTGTGTGTGTGTGTGTGTGTGTGTGTGTGTGTGTGTAAATACACCACATAAGGGTATGCATATTCATGTACAGTTAGATACAAATGATTAGGCACCCTTGTCAAATTGTATGTTTCTATGATTTCTATGATTCTGCGAGCAAAGCGTGATCGGAGCTGCTGTCTCCCTATATATACTGGTGGGGAGGTTGGCTGTGTTGTCATTTCTTGATTGGTTGATGGAGTTGATGTTTGCAGATTGGCTGGCTTTTTCATAAGAACATGTGTGGCTGAGGTATTGGCTATGTGTCTATCAGCCTCCTGTGTTATAATGACTTGGGTAACAGGCTGTGTGTTGACCTTCTGAGTTCTATTGTTTTGACATCCAGGGTCTTGTGCTGTAATCTCCTGGGTCGTAATGAGGAAGAATGGTGGTGGTGTCATGTGTTGTTTTGGGTCCGGTGTTGGTTTTCGTGGTTGGCACTCATTTGTTGATAAGGGCTAGTTTCTGGATGTCTGGTAGGTGGGAGGCATCGTCCCATTTATTCAAACACCTCCATAACATGAATAAACGGGACAATGCCTCCCGCCTACCAGACATCTGGAAACTAGCCCTTATCAACAAACGAGTCCCAGCCACGGAAACCAACACCGGACCCAAAACAATACATGACACCACCACCATTCTCCTCACCAGACTCAAACCCAAACCCATCCCATAGGTGAAAGACAACCACCGTCCAGAAACTAAACCACGGCTGCATCACCAGCTGCCACACCCCCTGACCCCCAAACCAACACATATCCAGGCCTCAAACTCAGAGCCAAACCAAAACCCGGAACGTCACATCACAGCCACCTGCTCAGGATATCACATCACAGAACTCAGGAGGTTACACCCCAAAACCTCAGGATGTTGCAACACAGCCAACGACCCAGGAGATTACAACACAAGACCCAGGATGTCAAAACAATAGAACTCAGAAGGTCATACACAGCCCATTACCCAGGTCATTACAACACAGGAGGCTGATAGACACACAGCCAATAACTCAGCCACACATGTTCTTACAAAAAAGCCAGCCAATCTGCAAACATCAACTCCATCAACCAATCAAAAAATGACAACACAGCCAATCTCCCCACCATTATATATAGGGAGATGGCAGCTCTGATCACGCTTTGCTCGCACAAGCATGAAGCCGAAAGCACCAGCTTGAAGATGGCAAAACGTTGCCAAGATACATGGGAAAAGACCCAAACACGCCAAGACCTGCATACCTGTATCCGTGAAAATCTACGAAAAAATATATATGCATGTATGTATGTATGTATGTATGTATGTATGTATGTATAGATATAGATAGACATAGACATAGACATAGATATAGATTTATTGGCAGTTGTTTACAGATTCAGAATAAGGAAACTGTGTATGTGGCAGGTGTAGCCTGGACCCTTCCTTTGGCAAAAATAGGTTTTCCTGGAGCCAGCTATGAATCTTCCTTGCTTAATTTTGGAACGTTTCCCATCCTTCTGCACCAAACTCTTTCATTTTAGAAATATTGTATGGGAGTTTTTATAAAGTCTCTAATCAGGGGTTGTGGAGGCCTTTTCAAAATCTTGATCTTTGTTCCGGTAAGTATTTCATAATTAATTTGGAGGTGTGTTTTGGATTGTTATCTTACTGAAAAAGCTGTTCATTTTTCAGTTTTGGTTCTTCACTGATTGTGGGGCATCAGTTTGAAGATGAAAGAAAAATCTATTCCTTAACTCTACTTTGAAAACTGGCATAAGATACAGTTATATACATGTATACTGTGTTTCTCCAACAATACGGCCTCCCACAATAGGAAGTCCCAGCATTTTTTATAGGCATGAAATGAAATTAAGCCTCTCCCCCCAAATTAAGGCCTATATTAAAACATACGAAATGAAGGGGGGGGGAATGGCGTGGGGCTTGCCATTAGGAAGTACTTTTGTTGCACACCCGGATATGGTGCTGCCTGCGTTGACCTTGGCATTGGTGGGGCACTTTGTCTTGGGAGACCTTCCGCCACTGTTGCTTTTCCTTCTCCCCATGCTGCCGCGGCATTTGGAGCAATGCCACAGCGTTTGGCGCAGCCACGCATGGCCAGCCAGGCTTTGCCTTCGAATGATGTCCGGGAAGGTGGCAAGAGGAGCACCTGAAGCCGAGTGTCTCCTCCGGGCTCTGGCTGCAGGGAGGAGCCCTGGCTGGCCGCGTGTGGCTGTGCCAAATACTGCGGTGTTGCTCCAAACACCGCAGCAGCACGGGGAGAAGGGAAAGCAACGGTGGCAGAAGATCTCCCGATATGAAGTGCCCCACCAACACCCAGGTCAACATCCAAGCCATCACCGCCCACCCGCCCTAGGATGCATGGGGGTGGAATTAAGTCACCCCCCCCCAAAAAAAGACGACCTAGCCATTTTTTCGGGGCTCAAAAAAAAAAAAAAAAGACCCGGCCTTATTATATGAGAAACACGGTATATACTTATACTTTTAACTGGCCCAAGAGTGAGCTTAATTTTAAGGAGTTTTCAAGGATTTCTACAGATGATTTTATCTAATCTAACTCATTACAGAAGAGTTAATCTAATCTAACTCATTACTTTTTTTTTTCTATAACAACATTTGTCAACCTTGGCAACTTTGATGTGTGGACTCAACTCCCAAAATTCCCCAGCCAGAAAGCTAGCAGCTGGCTGGGGAATTCTGGGAGTTGGTCCATGTATCTTAAAGTTGAGAAACACTGCCCTAGAAAATATTGGACAGTCTCTGTGATTTCAGCCGCACAGCCTTGTGGATCTGCAAGGACCACAGAAAAAGGGATTCGGGCAACAACATGCTGCCCGCCCACTTCAAAACTGTGCATTCCTAATTCTTTCTTCCCTTCCTTCATAATATACGAGACCAGAATCCCTTTCTATCACATGAGAGCAAAGCTGGCATCTCTGACCTAATTCCATGAAATTGGCAGGTGCTGCTCCTTGTTTATGGTGACAGGACAGTTACATTTCATAATGTATTCTGTCCTGTGAATTGTTCTTATTCCTATCCATTATTGGTTGATTCTAAACTGTTAATTGGCCTTCACCCTTTCCTTTTGCCTGCAGATGATGTTGAGAAATTAACCCACATATTAATGAAGGTGGCTCTAATTGACCGAGATGTATGTTCCAAGGAAATCCAAGGGTTAATCGGGAATGTCTTCGGTGCTGTTTCTAAGGAAAACGTGGAGGAGAACTGTGAGGTACACTTATCTTGAGTTACGGTACTAGAAGACCCCAATATCTCTTGCACAACAGATTCTTGCCCCTTTTTTGTTATTCAACTTTCAAACACCTAGAAAAGATATTTTAGGAAAGTATGCTAAAACCGTTTCTTAGTCCATAGGGATATATTAAATTCAAGCCCACAATATTGGAGACCAGATATTTAGAAAAGGAGAAAAGGCACATCATTATTTTCTTTGCTTGTGTTTCTTCTGCTTTTTCTATCCCTTCTTTCTTCTTTGATATTGTTCTGATTCTTTGATTTGTTTGTTATCCCTTTAAGTAACAACAACGAGAGAAAGGTTTTTGCTACAACAGACAGTTGTGGTGTATTTTGTGTGGGAGAGGAAGAATTCAGAAGTTTCAGAATATTTTTTTGGGGGGGGGGTGTTAAGTAGAAAATTTTGAAGGCAACGGGAGAGCAGTGGTTGGAGGATTAAACTGTTTCAAAATTTTATTATATATGTAGTACCATCCTATTGAAGGGACGCGGCGGCTCAGTGGCCAAGACGCTGAGCTTGTCGATCAGAAAGGCCAGCAGTTCGGCAGTTTGAATCCCTAGCATCGCGTAACAGAATGAGCTCCTATTACTTGTCCCAACTTTTGCCAACCTAGAAGTTTGAAAGCAAAGTAAAGTAAAAATGCAAGTAGAAAAATAAGGACCACTTTGGTGGGAAGGTAACAGCATTCTGTGTGCCTTCAGCGTTTAGTCATGCTGGCCACATGACCATGGAGAGCGCTTTCAGACAGGCTTTGTAACAGAGCTGAGCACTGCCCCCTAGAGTTGGGGACCACTAGCATGTATGCGTGAGGGGAACCTTTACCTATCCTATTGATACATTTTAGAAAATGCAAGACTATCCCTTTTGATGTTTACAATCCAAAATCCAACCCAGGAGAAATAAGACATGGAAATTAACATGGAGGCTAGAATATGTAAGGAGAGAATGTACATTTCGTTTGGGTAAAGATTTATTACAATTTTGACAGATTTGTATAAAAAAGGAGAAGAAAGCTGATCTTTGCCTGTTGGAGCAAAAATCACTATGACAAAGACACATTTGATTGTCCATGATTAACATATTGTTTTGAACCCTTCAAAGCCTTTTGCTTAGGAATTTGGGCTTGTTCAGCTATACTTTTATTTCACCAGATGGAGAGTGGGAGTCCCCGGTTCTGTGATTCTGGAAGCAACATGAAATGGTTTGTGGTTGGCATAGCAAGCTGGGGAGGTAACTGTGACCCAGAGGGAAGCCTCACAATCTACACTGCAGTCTTCAGCTACCTTGACTGGATACAAAAGGCCACTGCACAAGAAGGAGAGCCCTTTATTCCTGAAGGAGCAGATGACATTGGACCCTACACTCAAGTCTTTATCCCAGATTCTTTTTCCGGTTCTTCCCTCCTTTCAATGACCTGCGCAATTGCACCAGTTTTGTTTACACCAAACTCCTTTTTATTATAAAGTACAGATATTGTATGTTGTTCTGCCCCCAATCCAGCACCATCCTAATGTGTTGGACAAAGACTTCTATTCTGCTGGAAGCATGATTGGAGCCTGTTTATCTGATATTTTTGTAAAGCAAATATTGGTAAAGGTTGCTGGAAGCAGCTATAACTCTCAGCAGAGTCTCCTAGGACTATTATGTATGTATAATAAATAGGTTTTTTTAAAAAAAAGACGTAAAGCTTTTTGTACTGAAGTAAGAACACTTCCTGCATAATTCTGAGCACTATCTTTATCAGCTATTAAAAAGGACCCAGTGTGTATATTTTGTGCAAGATAGGGAGACATCCTGTGGGCACACTGGGTATTGCAAGACGCTAAAGCCATCAAAGAATATTTACGTGTGTAAAAAACGCTTGTGGTGACAATTCAGGGTACATCTGCTTTTCCTTCTGGGAAGACTTCCAGAATTTATTATGTTTGGTCTTCTTTCAGACTAACACTAAATGGTAATTTAGACCAGAATCAATCTTGATCTGTTGGTATTGTAGCGTCATAGATATGGCCCCAAGATATTTGGCTATTATGAATGTTGATCATTGTATGAAATTGTACTTTGGGAAGAGTTCTGGGCTGAAAAAGCAGTCCTGCAGCCACTGTGGATTTCAAAGGAGGGTGAGGGTGATTTGGATTCCTAGTCCCAAGATATTGCAGCCTCCATTAAAATTTGTCTCAAATTGAAGGGAAAGTCAGTTTCTTCAGCAGGTAAAACCAACATCCAGGCTTATGCAGAAGCCTGTGGTTCCAGGGACTGCTTACAGGTAGTTGTTAGGCCTCTGGAAAACTCTTACAAATGAGACACCCTCCCACTGCTGTGTTTATTGCCGACTGGATTTGTATGGAATAGATATTTGCAGCCCTGTTACAAACTATAGGAAAGTTGGTTTTTTAGTTTAGGACAGTTTTCCCCCAATCTTGGCAGCTTGAAAATGTGTGGACCTCAACTCCCATCATTCCATAGCCAGTTTTATTTATTTATGAAATTTATTGGCTGCCCATCTTACTATAAGGTAACTCTGGGTGGTTCATAGTCATAAAATTCTAATCTAATCATATAAATCAAAACAGAAATAAATAAAAGTTAAACCTTAAAATCTAAGGACAGGTGGGGAGAGCGAGTGAGGAGTGGGGTGGGGAGGTGGGATCTATTGTTACTCAGTCAATTATCTCCAGTGTGCTGTTCCCCCACGGGGCCCCAAGCCAACTGGCAGAACCATGTCTTTAGGCCCTTACAAAAGGATAGGAGGGTTGGCACAAGGGAGCAAGGCCAATTCCAGTGGGGTGAGACGGGTCCCTCAAGTAATCTGGACCAATGCTATAAAGGGCTTTAAAGGTGATCACCAACATTTTGAATTGCACCTGAAAGTAGACCAGAAACCATTGCAGCTCAAGGAGCAGTTGTATTACAGGGGCCATTGTTGGGGCCCCCAAAACTGCCCCCACTGCTACACTCTGCACTAGCTGTAGCTTCTGAATGCTCTTCTAAGGTAGCCCCATGTTGTTGTTGTTGTTGTTGTTGTTGTTAGTTGCAAAGTCATGTTCGAGCCAAAGTCATCGCGACCTCATGGACAATGTTCCTCCAGACCTTCCTGTCCTCTACCATCCTCCGGGGTCCATTTAAGCTTAGCATTAATAAATACATTCAGCCCCATGTAGAATATGTTATAATAGTCCAACTGTGAGATGACTAGGGACTGAGTGATGGAATACAGGGAATCCTGATCCAAGAAAGGCCATAACTGGTGCACAACATGAAGTTGTGCAAAGGCTCTCCTAGCCATGACTGCCACCTGCTCCTTGAACAGGCATCACGAGTCCAGGAGAACCCCTAAGTTGTGGACTGGCTCTTTCTGGGGCCATGTTATCTCATCCAGAGTCAAAGATGAGATTCCCAGATCCCGGAACCCCGTGTACCCAAAGCCATTTGGTCTTGCCAGGGTTCAGTTCTAGCCTGTTGTCCCCCATCCAGTCCCCCAAACCTCCAGTTGCCATGAGAGGGCAGCCACAGCATCACCTGGGTCACCACCAAGAATAGAAAATTTAGAGTTGGGTGTCATCAGTATACTGTGCGTACTTCAATCCATGATGATGGATGATCTCGCCCAGCAGTTTCATATAGATGTTGAAAAGGAGTGGACACATGTATCATGCCATGGTTGAGAAATGATGCTTTAGAGGGATAAAGACAATTCTCCCATCAGTCCAGTGACTGGTTTATTTAAAAGTCTAGAGAAAACAGAAGACACATTCCCACATAGCTGGAGGTTGGAAAAGAAAGGTCCAAAGAGCTTGTTCTCTGAATATTATTTTGCGTGTCTGATCATCTGGTATTACAGGAAGTGACAAAACGGGCCTATTATTCATCCTGCAAAGCCTGCAGAGGCTTTTTTCAAGCCTCTGGGAGGCCAAAAAAGGCCTCAAACCAGCCAAAAATCAGCTGTGAGGTGCGCACATGTGCAGTGAGGTAAGTTTGCATGCGGCTCGTGTGCTGGCACAAATGGTTCTGTGTGCCACCTGTGGCACATGTGCCATAGGTTCATCATCACGGCCATAGGCCCTTTACCTGACTCTCTAACTGATAATGCAATTATTAATCTTCTATTGAGTGATACTTTTCTATTTATTTGTAACTTAAAACAACTGTTGTACAAGAAGAATATGTTTTAACTGAGTGAAGAATTGCTTCTCTGTGTGTCTTCTTCCATGCCCTTTATATAACTTAGATTTTGGGGGAGCCCTGTTTTCTACTGAGGCTAACTCTGAGTTTGAGAAAGTGTATCCCAGAAGAAAGTTCTACAGCTGAGGGTCCCTAGTCTTTCCTATCCCCAGCAGGAGGAGAAGTAAAGGGCAGCTGCCTAGATCCTATAAGATTCAAGACACTCTGATTATGAATAAATAACACCCTTTAGTTTCTTGCTTTCAGAATGAAAGATGGCTGCTTAAGGCAAGTACTAAAACAGAGCTCTTACAGTCTCACAGACCTACATGATTTATATAAATATGAGAATTATCTTACAGAGCAGAAGCTCTGAAAAAAAATCAGTCCTGAGACACATGCTAAGAAAATGGAGTCCTTCTGTCTCTCTCACTCTTTGTCACTCAACAATCAGGGAGGGTGCTTTTCAAAACCCATTAAGTTTAAAATGTCAAAAAATTTAGTTGACTTGCAAACATCTTGTTTCCAGTACCTTCCTTTTGGCCCTAATTGATTGCTCTTGTTTCTCCCCTCCCTCCCTCCTGACCCTGATCCAAATCTGGATTGTCAGATCATTGCTTCTTCCAATCATGATCCAGCAACCATACATCAAGCCAATCTCTTGGACTCACCTGTCCCTGACATGCTTAGTGGTGCATATTAAAGGGGGCAGGGCTTCCATTGTGGCCCATCTTGACATATACAACCTGTTGATGTCTCAAGTCCTGCCCATTGAGTTGATTCTCCTCACAGTGGAAACTTGACCACTTATCTAGCTCCCTTGAATCTCTTTTGTGCCTGAATTTCCTTCCTTGGCTCTCCAAATTTGACAGCATCACCCTTTCCTTCTCTCATTTTGTCTTATGAGTGATTCATGAGAAGTCTCCCTCTGGCTTGCCTCCTTTTTCCTTTACTCTCGACTAACCTTTCACTTTAAATCACCAATTCCTGTTTATTTCCTCAGCTTGTTTTCCTAAGCTAACTACTTCATTTCCTTTTTTTCCTAGTTACTTCTTTCAGGCTTGGTCTTTCTGGGTCAAAGCTTGTTTCGGTCAAAGTCCCTAGATATGTTCCCCTGAATCCAACACTGTATATATTTCCTTTACTCAAAGTTTCATTTCTGTCTGTTAACTCTATGGGTGATATCCTGGTCCCAATAGAAAGTCCCAGTTCAGGTTTCTTTGTGAGGTTCCCGCTATCTGGCGAGAGTCTTTGTATTTTAGCCTATGATCAGCTTACCTATTGCCTGTTCTTTATCGACATATTCTTCTACCTCTGCTTAGATACCCAGATTTCTAACATCCAGATTATTTCCTTGCTTATCATGACATACCCCCCATATGAACATGCACCAAAGTTATTAATTTCCTTAAGTTTACCACAACTACATTTTAAACAACATTTTTCTCCTTTGGATAATGACTTCTTCGGAAAGGTATGTTTTTAGATTATGAAGCAGAGGGTTGTGCTTCCTTTTCCGCATAATTTTTTAGCAGCACCTTGTATTGTATTGTATTAATTGTATGAAATATCCTGAACAATAGGAATGATGTTCCTGAAGGAACACAATAGCAAAAGAAGACACTGTTGCTTTGCACATGTTGTGGCCTTCTCCAACCCTGAAATATACATCAGCTGAATTTTATCTCTTCTGTTTCTGAAGGCCAGACCTCAGGGACCCATCCTCTGGAGCTTCCAGGATCTCATGTTTGGATCTTATCGGCCCGACCAGGGGAGGTCAGGTCTATTGAATTCATTTCAGTTTTTCAGTAGCCATATGTCACAATGACTAATTGTAGCCTTAGTGTTAAGAGACACAAATATCCCTGAATACCAGTTGCTGGGATGGTTGCTTTGACACCCTGCTTCAGAGGCCCATGTGTCTTCCTTGACAAAGGAAAGCCCTGCATTTGAGGGCATCCTCCATCTCATCTTTCCCCACCATGTTACTCTTCTGATGAGTTAGATCACAACCTCGGTTGTCTAAAGAGCTGCCAGAAGCAGGTGTCTATCCAGGTCAAGGCTAGCTGAAAGACAAAAGACCCATGAGGCAGGAAGGCGGCCGTAACTGTCCATCTATGACTGGTGCCTGGTGCCTGGGACTAGCTGGGGATCTGAAGAAACCCACAAAGAGTTTCCAACATACATAAGATAAAAGAACATGCAGATGCTTTAATAAGGAAAAGCTGTGAGGACAGTTTGGTATGACATGTGATCCTAAAAGGTGGATTAATTCAGTAAACAAGTGTTAAAATAAACATGAATATCATCACATTTCTCCATTATCTCCTCAAA